CGCACACACACGCACGCACACACACACACAGGGTCGTCAAAAACTCCGAAAACGCTAAAATCTCGAAAACAATCGACTAGCGAAAAATATATAAGAAGCAAAGTTGTACAATTAAATAAAATGTGCCTAATGGTAACAAGAATTTGACTTTCAATGGAGTCCATAAGGTCATATAAAAATCAAGTTGAATTTTTTAAATAGAACCTTCCCCATTTTTTATTGCACATTCTTGTAACTTCAAGAGTTTTCCAAAACACCATAATAGTCTTTTTTGGTTCAGTACCTACATCTCGAGTTATGAGATTTGAAATTTATACCGTCAGTATTAGCATTATCACAGGTGTCCGAACATTCAATGGCTGAAACCTTTTAAATGTTGTTCAGGATCATGACTTTGACAACATATGTCAAGGTCAAGGCCATTAGAGATTGTTGCTCTTATTTTAATTTTTAAAAATTATTTTTATTTTTTGAATGAACACAAAAAAATGTTTCAAACAAATGTTGTATGACTTCAATGGGGACATAAAATGTTTGGTACAATTGGTTTGACCTTGGGTGGCGTTGTCAAGATCAGGGAAAGGTCATTTCAAAATTTTTAAATAGAAGTTTTCATTACATATTCCTGTAACTTATCTCGAGAGCTTTTCAAAACACTATAATAAAATATTTTTGATTTTTCTATTAAACACTTTTCGAGTCATAAGGCTTGAAAGTTATAGTTTCGCTGAAATTAGTATTATCCAAGATATCCGAACGATGACTAAAACCTTTTGAATGTTGTTCAGAATCATAACCTTAACCTTAACAACATATGTTAAGGTCAAGATCATTAAAGGTCGTTCTTATTTTCATTTTTTTTAATTTTTATTTTTTGAAAAAAAGAGGAACAACCTCCAATGGCCATAACCTTGACATATATTGTCAAGGTCATGATTCTGAACAACATTCAAAAAGTTTTAGCCATTGTTCGGACACCTTGGATAATGCTAATGCCAGTGATACTGTAACTTTCAAACCCTATAATTCGATAAGTGCTTAGTGGAAAAGTTTTCAAAATAAGCTACAAGAATATGCAATAAAAAATAAAGGCTTCCATTTAATAAATTTGAAGTGACCTTTCCTTGACCTTGACAACATTACCCAAAATCAAACCAATGGTACCATTTTATATCCCCTTTAAGAGCCCAGATAGCAAACTGCGCACAGTCTGCATGCAGATTGGCAGCAAATTCGAACAGATTCTGGTAGCAGAACCATAGCCATCTGTGTCCGCATTAAGCTCAGGATCTGTCGACAAAGTCTGTTGACACGATATGTCAGCAGATTGCAGACAGAAATTGAGCAAAATCTGCTGATATAATTTGACGACAAATTGGGAGCAGAAACCGGACAAAGCCTGCAAGCATAACTTGACAGCAGATTGGTAACAGAAATCGAGCAGATTTTGCAGTTTTGTAAGCATTTAAATTGTAAGCATTGTCATTGGTATTGAAATCTTTAAAAATGATGTTTTTAGTCTTTTTATTTTAAATTTTATTTGAAAGAAATAATTTTAACTTTATTTTATTAATAAAAATTAATATATGTATTTTACATTAAAGCATTTAATTCCTCTTTCCGAGAATATTCTAAAGATGTAAAAGCATCATCTTGTCCTTGTTCTCTGTACACTAGCAATTACAATTTTCTAATAATTCTATGCTCATTTTATACTTATAATACTCATATAGCTTCTTTGACGTAAAAGCATTATTCATATTTCGTACTAACATTTAAGTACATACATGAATAATACGCAAATAATTTTGACATACCCCAGCTTCGATATTGATTATATAAGAGACTCGACAAATTTTAAATGCGAGAAATGTATACCAACAAACTCTATCTAGCGGCAGTTTTGCAAGTATTTAGTGACAGCGCAGCTCCCTGCTCGATTTCTGCCGACAATCTGCGGTCAAGTTAAGTTAGCAAACTGTGTGCTTTCTGTCGCCAATCTGCTCGCATAGTATGTTAACACGCTTTGTCATATTTTTGATAACAGTTTGTCGACATCATCATATAGTACAGATACTGTGATGAAATTTGTTGCCATTCTGCCATCAAATAACGATAGCATACTCTGCTCGAAATCTGTCTCAGCAGGTTTTGCTATCTGGGTATATATATATGCTTTTTTATCTAACTATTGCATTCATGTTTGTGTATCCGCAACTATTTCGTGCGTTTTCATACGATCCGGGTACTTTATCTGACTATTAGTTTCATGTGTATATCTGCAAATAATTTATATACTATAATATAAAACATATATATTATAAAACATGTGGAATATATTGCATTTTAACACGACCTGGGCACGCCAAGTGTTTTCTTCATTATAATCCGGTTTATCACTTCTATTTTTTTAATTTTTGAATGTTTTTTACAAATAAGCTTTTTTGAGGTCTTTTTAAAATAATGAGACTAGTTTAATAACTTGGCTATAATTTATTGATTTCACGACTATTTTTGATCAATCAATTTTTAAATAATTGTATATTTAAATTATAAAAAAAAACTGTTCTTAGTTTTAGAAAGAATGTGACATTTTTTATGTATTTGGCGTATATATATTTTTTAAAGATTTTTTATGGGATCTCACTGCTTTTTATTAAACTAAAATAGAATTTAAATCTTCTAAAAATAAACACATTATTATTGATAAAATTGTTAGTTTAATTTAATATACTTTCTCTCAATTTTAATAGTTTATTGATTTAATTTATTTATTTATTTATTTGTTCTAAGAAAAATATGTATGCTCTCTTATCATTTTGAGGTCATTGACATGTCTCAACTTTAAAATTATTTACGGATATCCATTTTATACCTTTAGTTTGCAATATATTTGTGTTATGTTCATCGTTTATGTTTCCATGATGAAAAATTGCACTGTTAACTTTATAAATATTTTCAACAATATGTATTTTTGATGTAGGATGGATTTAATATTAAGATTTGTAATCTTTGTAACTGTTTTATTATTAACTTAAATAATAATAATTGAAAAATGAGTATATGTTTGGTCATTGTTATATTAGACTTTTCAAGTAAAGCAGTGTTACAATTTTTGCATAATTTTTGTACATTATAAATGAATAAATAAATAAATAAATAAATACATTTATTAATTTATTTTATTTATTTTTAAATTAATTTATTGTAGAACACAAATTACGTACGCAAACAGCTGTAATTAACGTATTGAACAGCTTTATTCGGTAAATTAATGAGATACAGACAGGATTTTATATATATTCTTATTCCATTTTTTAATTTGACGATCGCCTCTTGCTTGTCATTTCAATGATCGCTTGCATTACTTATTATATACGCTTGCGCAAGACTTCACGCATCAATCCTTGCATATTATAATTTCGCACTACATTATTATTTATGTAGCACAAAAGAGAGAGAGAGAGAGAGAGAAATACACAAATTTATTTATTTTGTTTTGTATTACAATATTTTT